CCGTTTCCTGTCTCTGTGGAGTCAGCTGTTGATATACATGCCTCCCACCCAAACAGAATTAATAATCACTATAGAAGCCCTTTTGCAGATGTGCTGTGTGGCACTTAGCTTGTACGCTAATATAAAGGATTTTAACAGGAACTCATTTCACACAAGTTAAAGAAAGCAGCAGGGACTGAAATGTACAGCTGAGCCTTAGGGAACAACTGGGATAATTGTAAATTATTTACATTTATTTAATAAATGTAACAGAAGTTATTGAGAAAATGTATCCATGTTTTTATTATTATTATTATTATTATTATTATTATTTGGGAGCAATGTTGGGAGCAATATTACAATTTACCTTTCAGCATTAATGCATCAGCTGCCTCTAGGCTGTTGGAAAGCATATGGAGGAATGGTCAGAGGGCATCCCAGAAACCATTTGCCATAACTTTTAATATTAAAGGGTGGATAAATGTGTTTTTAAACTGTGTTTCACTGATGTTGTTTTCCATTCAGTAAGTGTTACTTTGAGTTTTATATATGCATAAAGCATACATTTTAATATGTCCATTCAATTCCTATTTGTCTAGCTTGATATGTCTTTCCATTTAGTCTGATGTCAATATTAAAGCCTGTCCTTCAAAATCTTAAAATATGTCTAGTATCTGTTAAGATATGTTGTTTAATTATTCACATTATATAATTTTGTATTTATATTCATCAAATGTTAGAGTTATATAGAATGTCATAATGTAACACTGACCTTCATGTACTTCTAGTTTAACTGTATCCGACTTGATTAAGTTATACATTTAATTGACTCAAGACAGCTCAAGCATTTCAGGATAACAATATTTGTATATTAATGCAAAAATAAAGTTAAAGAGCATTTTATAAACGTATTTTTCTTTAAAATTTTTCTTCTCAAAATATACATTCTATAAATGTTGCAATCACATGATGGTTTTGAAAAGCTATCCTATTTTCAACTGCCATGCTCAGCTTCAGGTTTGTGCAAGTCACAAGCAGGTGAGCAAACCAGCTAATTTCCTTTTCTCTGGTAATTAATTCTGTTCAAATCTATGGAGGGATTTTTCCATCCCTGGCCAACCTGCCATCAGGTGCTCATTAGATCTCTAGCACAACTGATTCCTTCTACATATTTTTAGTCTGTCTTTGCTTACAAGCTAATCATTGGCACAGTTGGCCCTATAAGTACACATTTAAGATGCCTGCGCACTTCCACAATGACTTTTAGCATCAAGAAGTACCTTCTTAAGTGGGAGAAAAGGGGAATATAATGATTCAAGAGGCATGTGGGTAGGAGAGTGGATATAGGCTGGATGACACTCAACAAGAAATCATGGACACCAATGTGACAAAAGGTGCCTTCTGTCAACAGCAGATCCTTGAGATGCAGCGACAACTCCCTGAGCACAAAAGAATCTGCCATACAACACTACAACTTTTACAGAAACCAGAAAAAACAGCCTGCCATTGAGGATGGGAAATACGCCATGGCGTGTTTGGCATTTGTGAGTGTGACAGAGATGTTTTGGCAGAGCAACAAAACTGGTTTCAGCCGATGTGTAGCCTCAGTCTCTTGGCTCAGAGTAATGAGCTACCTCAGCAGGCATCACACATCACCTGCAACCACAATATTGCAAGAAATCACCATGTGGTTCTGCTCAGCAAGTCTAAAGCAACACATATAGCTGCAATAAGGGTTCTTGAATGTCTTTAAGTCTCTTCTAACCCACTGAAGCCATTTTTTGGCATTGAGGACCTAATTTGGGGTCCTTTTAGTTTCCACCACAGCTATGGAAAAATTAAAGGTGGAAGGTATCAATTCATATGGTATCAAAACTTTGAATCTTTTGATTTTATGTGCAATGCATTGAAGATATTCCAAAATACCACATTCCGAATTTGCAGAACCATCATGAGCAACGAAAGTACAAAAAGTGCATTCAAAAGCACAGAAATCACTAAATCGTGAAGTATTTTTTTTAAGTCCTACCTCTTTATCAGATGCCAAAAATCACAGCCTTGATAGTCAGAAAACCATACAGCTGATCGGTTGCCAATGTTTCTAATCTCTTTGCCTCTTTGTCTATTGCCAAGCACAAATATAAAGTGGACCATCTACCACAGGGATGGACTCCATGGGCTCCTCTGCCTAGCTAGATCAGTGGCTCTCTGGCAGGTAGGTAGAAACAGTGAGACAAGTCCAGTAGTCCTCGCTGTTGGTACGGCAGGAACGTCGTCAGAACATAGCATCCATCAGTGGGCAAGAAATCCAGAGGGAATGTGCCTGTAATCCCCAGACTGGAAGCATGCGCTGAAGATAAACAGGGGAGAGTTGCCTCAACATTGTTCTTTTTCCACTGGAAGCAACATCTCTCTTCTCCCACATCCTTCTGATGCTATTTATTTATGTGGGACCAGAGTGGAGAGAGCGTGAGTGAGAGAGAGTGTGTGTGTGTGTGTGTGTGCGTGTGTGAGTAGGTGGAGTTTTCTTTGCAGCAGAGGCGATCATGATTCGAAATCCAAAGGAGGGAGAGAAAGACAGACTGAGAGAACACAGCATGAACAGCATAAGAAGAAGAGGAAGAAATAAGGTAGCGCTGAGGTTCAAGAAAAGGAAGAAGAGAAATACATCATGATCGACTAGTCAGTTAGATCTGCCACCAGTCAACTTGTCAAGAAGGTCTACAAAAAATTATAATAATACAATTAAATAATAATAATAATAATAATAATAAAAGTGCAAGTAAAGTGTTCCCATTCAACTTAACATATTATGAAATATTAGAAATATATGTTGGTCAGTCAATGGAAAAAGACAGTTTTTAGAATCAGATGGTGTTGTTACAGCATCCACCAGCAGGGCAAATGACCATGGTTTGTGTTGACTTGTCATGGATCATATGACTTCATGTGTACTTGGAGACTGTCTCAGTATCCACACAGGTGGTCTTTGCACTTGATCGCTTGTCTACTTACATCACATTCCTTTGAGATTTATTTCTATATTTTGAATTTCAATATTTTGCCCTTAAATAAACCAACTATATGTAACAGACAACACAGTTTAGTAATTGTGATGCTTCTAATAAGTGATAAAAAGCAGTTACAATCATTTTAGAAAAAAAAAAAAAAAAACACAATCATATCTACCAATAAAAATGTGCAACACTTTACATTTTACTGCCACATAATATGCAATATCTAATTAATTTAACTTACACAAAGTTTTATTAGAATTCTTTTGATTTCAGGGCACATGAACATATTGAATGATGGGATATGCTTAGCCTCAAATACTTCTCTGTTCTACATAAAGGGTGTTCAATGCAGGGCTGTCCTGCAGAATTCAGCTCCAACCACAACTGAACTGGTACAACAAAAGTCTGACAGAAAAAAGTTAATACAGAATACAAGAACCTGTCCTATTTTTATTACATGAAAGGGAAAATAAAGTTAACCTAGAGCACTTTGCATTCACAAAGCAAGTTAAAAGTAAATCGCATTGCTGAGTTTAAATTTGAATTCAATTAAATTTTAATTTAGAGTATTCAAATAAAAGACCAAATTCTACTGCCATAAAACTTATCAAGTGTCACAGAACTGAACAGAAGTCATCAGCACATGTTACTGGACCATTTCGTACACTGAATGCAGCATGAATCTGGCAATGGAGATAAGCACACTTTAATTTCTCAGCTGCATCATCTCAACTGCATGGACATTCACTTCTATTCACTTCTATCCTCATCAACACAGATAAGAAACAGCAAATAAGCAGCTATTTCTCCAGAGGACTAGTCAACTAACAATGAATTTTCAAGCCAAAAGTTCAAGGGTATCCAAGCCCATACATAGTAGGAAGGATGAAAAGATAGGTTAGAACTAGACATCTGCTTCTGGTTTGGCACTTCTGTGCTGTTTCATCCTGTATCTAAACAAAGGATGAATTATTTAAGCACCTAAAGTCTGTGAGTTGACATTATGTGCCTAATATGATGTAAATTCAGCAATGTTTACATGATCTGATAAAATTATCTCTGAAATTCAGTCAATAATGACTATGTAACACGTTAAGAAGCCAATTTAAATGTAAGTTGCGCAACTAAACAGAATATTTGATGTCATGATTTCATGCAGGATTTATCATTTTCATAAGACTTTACAATTCTATAAACATCTCTCATCTGAAAACAGCAATGCACAGTTGAGTTTAAAAGCTCGGGTTTTGCATCAGAAAGTGTTTGATTTAGAGATTATATCTGCAGAATTTATATAAGTAACAGAATTCTGAATAATTCAATAATTTGTTTGCATTTGGGAAATGCTTTTTAATTCAAAGTGATGCTTTTATTCAAAGTGACCTACAAGGCACATTTATAAGAACAGTCCCTTTGAAAAAACTTTATGTTAAGTGTCTCACTCAAGGACACATCTATGATAGTTTATGAATAATCCTTTGTGGGGTTTGAAACTACAACCTTACATTTATCAGCCCAGATCTTTATTCACTTCACCACACCACCCCTAATAGTATATCACCACCCCTACTAGTATCTGTCACGATCTCCACCTGGAGTGCCCATGAACTCCACCAGAGGGCACTCCACCCCTGACTCTTGCCAATTTCACAGACTACATTTCCCATAATCCTTTGCCGGACTCATCACTTATTGCATTCGCCTGTGTCTTGTTACCTCCATCAGTCTCACCCTATTTATAGCCTGGTTTTTCACTCATTCATTGCTCAGTATTGTTAGCCTGTAACATTGCCGTGTTCTCCTGTGTTACTACCCTTGTTGCCTTGCCTCTCCTTGCCTTGCCTTTGTGTTTTGATCATGACTGTTTCTTTGTATATGATTGTTTGCTGCCTGCCCTGACCTTCGCCTGTTTATTGGAGCACTCTTTTGTCTCGCCCTGGATTGTACCTGTTTGCTGTTATTTGACCCTGCCTGTTTGACCACTCTGTTGAATAAAAGCCTGTGTCAAGGCGGTTGTGGCAACACCTTGGGGTAAGGACAGAGGAGGCGAGAGAAAGGAGACATAATGGTGGATGGCCTTTTACTTTTCTCCTGATGGCCAGAGACCGCTCCTCCAGCTATGGGCACCTGGCAGTGAGATGAAGAACCTTATTATGCATCAAACAAATACATGAAAGATATGCTATAAACTGCAATCAGCTATAATATCTAATGTAAATTAGAAAAATCAATTATTGATAATATACCACAATGCCAAGGTCTCTGGAAGAGGTTTGGATAAGTGATATTTACGTTCTCTGTGGTCAAGTGAGCAGTCCGGTAGCGGTGACAATGCAGTGGGGAAAGGAGCAGGAATCCATTTAAATAGCCTTGAACACGAAGCACTGTAGGATGCTGATCTCCTGGAGCACCAAAGGTTCCTAAAATCTGGAACACGCAGATGTGGCCTTGGAATAGGTGCAGAAGGTACTTGCCTGGAACACGCAAGCAAAAGTACTTTGAGGTGAAGGTTTGCTCTCTGGAACTTAACCTTGTTGCAAATGTCAGTGTGTCTTCTGCCTCTGTGGGCTAGAGACTCAGAACTTGGTCGATCCGCTTTGTCTCGCTAGGATGGAGACTCAGGACATGCTGAATCCCTTTCTATCTCATACCACGCAGGCCGGAGACTCAGAATGAAGTCTGAACATAGATTGTCTCTTTCCTCACAGGCCGGAGGCTCAGAATGTGGTCGAATCTGTTATTGCCTCTTCCCTCACAGGCCCGAGGCTCAGAACCGAGGTTGATCTGCTATCGTCTCACCCATGCAGGGCTCAGACTCAGAACAGGTTGTTTCTGTTGCTGCCTTCCCTGTAACAAGCCGGAGACTCAGAAAGAAGGTATCTGTTACAGTCTCTTGGGATGAAAGACTCAGAACTTGCTCTTTTAGTGTCTTTTCCCTGACAGGACTCAGACTCAGAACAAGGAGTGTCTATTGGGAAGGTACCTTTATCTCTTTCCGATGAGGAGGAGATTGCAATCTGGCGCTTCTCCATTTCCAGGC